GTCATCGGGCCCCTGGCCAGTACAAGAGCTGGGCTTGACGAACGGAAAGCTCTTCGAGCTCGTTTCTTGGTCCTACAAGAAATTCCGCTGGAAGCTTATCGCACTCGTCTACATGCTCAACGAGGTGGCTATCGTGAACCTGCAATACGAACGATACCTGTAGTGCTCACCCCTGGCGAAAGCGCTACATATGACGAAGTGCGCTTTGTGCAATTAGTGCAACGGCACCAAATACTTTCCCCACTGTATGCCTTACAGTCGAGACACAAGGAAGTGGACATGCATGTGGAGCGCCACCTCCAATTTGAGTTTGTTAAATTCAAAGCACGCCGTCGACTCCCTTCACATTAGCGCCCTGCGACGTATGGGTCAACCCCAAACGCTTCCGCGAGCTCTGTTTCTGAGACCGCAAGAGCTCAAAGCCACCGCTTGAGCTCAGTTCATGGCCTTTCTACTTCCCTGGCTATTGCCGAGAAGCTCGGGGCGTCTGATGACGCGGAGCGTCCTGATCTTTCTGATCAAAAGCGTCCACGGCGTCTGGGCAATCTTGCCGAAGTGGCGTCTCAAACTCCCGCGAGTTTTCGGAGTCGGGATATCTCCGCCACTTCACCAGATATTGGGTCTGACCCTGATGACGACGTCGTCTCACTAGACTTTCCACGTGATGGTGAACGTCACCGTTCTCATTGAGAAGGGTCGGTGGCGGGCGGTGACGACCGGGTCGGCAGCCATCCAGTGACTCGCGATGCTCTTCAAGCTCAGCGGAGCTCCGATCAGCATCATGCTGAAGTAGCATATCGCTGTGTGAACGCTCTTGAAGATTTGGAACGCGTTGTACACCGGCTGCCTCGCCTTGAGGACCACCAGGGTCTGTCGGAGCGACTCATAGCCGTGGAGCAGGCGAATGCGTCGCTGTAGGCAACGATGGGGCGCTTGGATCCATTGGAGATAAAGGTTATTGCACCTTGTGCTCATAATTAGTTGCTAGTTCAATTTCTGGGTGGCCGAGGGTCCGTGGGATCCGCTCTGGCGCTAACGCTTCCGCGTCCACTTGCGCCAGATCCCGGTACGGCTTGAGCAAACCCACGTAAAACACTGGGTGGGTGCGTATCCGTTTTGAGACGTTCAGTGTATACGCTACGCCCCGCTTGGCCACAACCTTAAACGGTCCGATGAACCGTGGACGAGGCTTCGTCCTGAAGATAGCAGAGGCTGCATGTGTAGGCAGGATTTTAGTATTTAATAAAACCAGGTCCCCGACTTTAAAACTTTCTAGTTTGTCTGTTCCTTTCTCATCTGCATATTCTTTCTGTAGGTCTTGGCTTTCAACCATCTCATCGCGAACGTGTCGTAGGACACTCAGTCTGGTAGACAAAAAGTTATTGACTTCTTTGCGGATGGTGAGGGGCTGACATCACCTAGCCGTTCGGCTGTTTGCCCCTAGCCAAGCCCTGAGCCATGGGATGGCGGCGTCAGCGGAACGCGAGGGTGAATC